ACTTTTGGTTGTTTTTGTGGCAGGTCGAGGATTTGAGCGCCAGGCAGGTATACGAGAAACTTCTTGAAGCCGCACAACCTTGACATGCGCGGGAGTATTCTAAATTCCATAACTTAATATCAGGGCTTGTTATAAAACGCACGTGTGATTCACCAATCTTATTTTGATCAAGTATTCATTAAATTTGTGTTCTAGCCCTTGATACTTAGATTGGATGTTTCAATCTTCATATGGTGGATGATCAAAGTTTGAACAATGTTGTAGCACAAATTGTTATTTTTACCGAGTACCGAATCGAATGATTCGTTCCCCGGGTCGATCTCGCAAGGAAGGCAGTTCGGAATCTAGATTCGATGTTGATCGAACACAAAAGCAAAATAAATCCTAAACACTCTAATCACGATTGGGGATTGAACGGTCAACTAGAAAATAGCAGAAAATGCATAAAAGTTAAATTAACTCAAAAACATGAAACAAACAATGATAAAGATGCTAGGAAATCGGGAATATTTGTTTCGGTTCGAATTGCAGTTAACGGGCAAGTGATTGTTCGGTTAAAGGATTCGAATAACCTATTCGTTCAGAGATTCATCCTCAATAACTTTTCGTAACAAGAGAACAAACGTGAACGGCAAATTAACGATTCGTTTAACACCTAGGCAATACAGTTATAAACAAGCCTAGTTTATACAAGCCTAGATCGATCGGTTCCTCCCCTTTCGGTTCTAAGAGCCGATTAAATTATCCTAGAAGATGGTTAATCAACTAGTCCATTTAGAATTAACAATATCACGCAAGAACGAATCAAATTCAATTGAAAATCAATTGGAGATTGAAGTGTCACCCTTCAACAATTCTTAGCAATCAAGCATAATCATCGAAAACCCTATTTAAGAATAACTCGTATGAATTGAACAATCAACGAACACAATAATCACAAACGAAACCAAAACATCATCCCCTATCCCTAGCAATAGGGTTTAGCCACTCATATTCAATTCAACACCATCAACCCACAACAATCAAAGCAATCATATCATGGATTAAATGAATAGAAAACTTGCGATTAAAACGGAATTGAGAGTTGAATCTGAAATACAAGATTATCCGAAAGTAATGAAGAAATCCAAGTGAAAAACAAGATCAAGATGGTGTTCTAAAGGTAAGAGAAGGGGAAAAATGGGTTTTTGGGGGATTTCTTTGGTCTGGGAACGAGTCCCAATGCAAAGTCCTCGAAAAAACGAACAAAATCTAGCTTTTAAAATCCTGGTCGCGACCTCCGCGGCCGGGGGAAGCTCCGAGACCGCGAGATTACAGCTGCAGAAGGGCTCCGCGGCCGCGGGATTCTCTCCTCCGAGGCCGCGGTGAAGAAAACTGGACAGCTGCGCACTGCTTTACGTTTCGAGCTCGTTTGGGCTCGTCCGAACTCGGAATTGAGTTCCGTTTTTTGCTATGCGTCACCAACGAACCCATCTATCCAGTTATGCTCTCAAAACCAACTTTTCCTGAAGAGAAAATTCCCCCGAAGCTCCTGACCTAAACACCAAAAACGACAAAACACAAAGAAAACCGGAAAAACAAACGAAAAACACCTAAAAACTCAAGATGAAGGAAAACACATAATAAAACACGAAACGGACTAAAAACTAAAGAAACGACCTAAAATGGGGGAAAAAGAAAGATAAAACAAACACGAAAAACGCAACAAAAATAAGACAAACAACTCCTCCACACTTAAACATTTGTTCGCCCCGAACAAAAAGAAATGAAAACAAGACATGAGCATGGATACGGTTTCAAATAAAAAGAATTTCAAAATGTCTAAGTCAACCAGGTCGAATTCCAACGACCGTAAAACCATATACCTCAAATATAAACTTGGCCTCGAAATGATAAACTCTCAAACAAAAATATTAGTACATGCCTCACTCATTTTTTTTACATGAATATACAAAAAAGAAATTTGTTGTAGCACAAATTGTTATTTTTACCGAGTACCGAATCAAGGATTCGTTTCCCGGGTCGATCTCTCGAGGAAGGCGGTTCGAATTTAACTTCGGTATTGATTTCACACAAAAAGAAGATAAAAACCCAAACACTCTAATCAGAAATGAGGAATATATTATCAACTAAGAAATCAACAGCAAACAAAAACGAACCTAAAGTACGAACTAGAAAGCGATAAAGAAGCTAGGAAATCGGGGATAATTTATTCAAGTTCTAAGCAAAACCGGGCAATCAATTGTTCGGTTTGAGATTGACACTCTCGCTTAGACATCTAGCGGTTCGCTCCCAATAACTCTTCGTAACAAGGGATTGAACATAGACGAGCTAGCTCGAGCATACAACACATGTCAATTATCCCAATCTCAATAACTTTTCGTAACAAGAGACGGGTCATCGGCAAGTATGTATTTCAATCCAAAACCTATAGACTATTCAGTTACGAAATCATCTATCTCATGCGAGCCTCGGTCTACGACTTCTCCCCTTTCGGTTCTAAAAGCCGCTAATTCAACTAGAAGGTGTTTAATCAACTAACCATATAGAACCAACAAACCCTAACTCGACAAATTAACATTCAATTGATACCAATTGCAAGATCGAAGTGTCACCCTTCGATTATATCAAGTTATCAAGTAAGAATTAATTAATCTTAATTAAAGCAACTCGCACAAGCAGGAACAAATTAAAGCCCAATAATAACGAAATCAATCAAGAACAATCATCCCCTATCCATAGCAGAAAGGATTAGCTACTCATTATTGATTCAACACAACAAAGTATTTCTCCTAAATTAACCATTATGCATGAATTAATTCAAAGAAAAATTAAACTTACAATCAATCCAAGTCCAAGAGTTGAATCCATAATACAAGCTTAATCCTTGAAAGAAAATAAAATAAAGTGGTGGAAGAAGAAGAAGAAGAAGAAGAAGAAGAAGAAGAAGAAGAAGAAGAAGAAGAAGAAGAAGAAGAAGAAAATGGAGAATGGAGAGGAAGAAGATGGAGAATGGAGAGGAAGTTTTTCAGGCTAGGGCATCCCCAATCGCACCCCTCTTTCCCCCCCGTCAAAAATCGCAGAAATTGGATTTTAAAGGTTGAAACGCGCCCTCCACGGCCGCGGAGAGCTCCGAGGCCGCGGGATTTTCATTGCAGAAATTTGGGACCTGGCAGCTTTTCTTCGCCGCGGCCGCGGCGAAGAAAGGGTCGCGGCCGCGGAGACCAAAATCTGCACTGCACCATCTTACGATTTTTGCTCGTTCGGGTTCGTTTTAACTCAGAATTGAGTTCCGTTTTTTCCTACGTGTCTCTAACGAACACCTCTATCTAATGGTGTCAGCTTCCCCACAAGATTCTCGAAAACCTGTTCTCCCAAGGTCTTCAAACTACACACCAAAAACGAAAAGAGAACAGAAAAAGACCGGAAAACAAACGGAAAACATCGCAACACTCAAATGAACACAAAACACATAATAAATGACAAAATGATCCTAAAACCATCTAAATGACTCAATATGAGGGACAAAATAACAATGAAAAACGCAACAAAAATGGGACAAACAACTCCCCCACACTTAAACCTTTGTTCGTCCCGAACAAAAACAAAAGAAAAGAAAACAAGACACGAACATGGATATCGATTTCATACAAGAAGAGCCTCAGAAAAATTTAACTCAACCGGGTTGAATTCCAACGATTGTATGACCATATGCCTCAATATCAACTTGGCCTCAAAATGACAAACTCTCAAATACAGAAATATTAGTGTATGCCTCACTCATTCTTTTACATGAATATATGATAGGTTCTCTCAGATTGGTCAATATTCAAGTTTCAACATATGCTTGCCAATCGTTTAAATTACTCAGAAACAATCAAAGCTCAAAACTTGCGGATCAAGAGGACTTCACGGGTTGTAATGTAGGCTATTTGGTTCAAGGTAAGGATATATAAAGGAAAAGAAGCTCAAATACACAATCACAATTCTCGAGCAAATAGATTACTCGAGTTCTCCGCTACTCAACCAGAATAATCATGACAACACACTTACTACCCAACCAACATTCCTCAAACAACACATAGATGCTCAGAGCAAGTTGCAACATCATCACTTAACCTTATTTTTTTCTTTTTCTCTTTTTTTTTTTTATTTTATTTGGAGAGTAACTTTTTCCCAACAAGATTGAATCAAAAGGACAACATTCTGTAGGTGTGAACATTGGAGGTCATCCAAGTTTCCTACAGTAGTTTCCTAATGCTCATTACCTGTCAAAATGAATCGACTAGTAAGAGGAGCAGAATCCATTGATTCGTCTTGTGAACTCTCAATGTTGTTTTTTTTTCTTTTGAATGGTCAAGCAAACAAAATGCAACTCAATGTCCACCATATTCAGAAATGCCACCAATCACCCAATCATCACACAAATCAGTCAACAGGTTGACAAGAAAAGGTTTTAAGCTCAAACGGGCTACTAGTGGAATAATAAATAGGGCCAAAGAACAAGGCAGAAGTGAGCTATTCAAACAAAACGCCTCAATCACATTCGCAATTTCAAACTCTAATAGATTCCTTTCAAACAAACTCAAGGCAAGTTCTAATCATTCAAGAATATGACCAATATCTCACAAGAAAGAAAGAGTAAGGATCAAAACCTCACAAGGTAAATAAATGTCACTCAAAGCAATCAAGCAATATCGAGGCAATGATCAACACAATCGTCATCACAACTTCCCAATTTCATCAAACATCCATCAACAAATCATATAATCCACCAATACCATGCTCAACAACACAAAAAACCTAAACTAGCCCGGCCCACCATATAAGCATGCAAAAATCCGAATAACTCCCCCACACTTAAAATGAGGCAATGTCCTCATTGCTTCAACACGAAACAGGAAGTTAAATAAAGGACCTAGCACTCTCACATGATGAACCAAACTTAGCAACTACGACAGCAACGCAAGACTCAAAAGCAAAGACAGAGGAAAGAACAACTCAAAAAAGATAAAAAGAAAAGGAAAAAAGAGGGTGTGCAAACCGAAAATGCGTCGAGGAGATAAGCATCCACATACGAGCTACTCGTCCACGCTCCACTCTGGACCTCGATGTTCGTCCTGCTCAAGCTCGCTAACTCATTCCTGCCAAGAAAAACACAGAAACTCCAAACTCCCATTATTCAAAGAATAAATCTAAAAAGCATAAAGAAAATATCTAGGAAAGCAATAAATCACTTGGGTTGCCTCCCAAGAAGCGCTTGTTTAACGTCATTAGCTTGACGAAACCTGCGAGGAACTCAGCCAGGGTCCAAGAAGAAATGGCGATCATGCCACGCCTTCGTATTTTCCAGAAGTGGCAGCATGGGAAGGGTGGCAAGAAGGCGGGCATGGTGGATCCGGGTGGCTATGTTCTGTATGAAGTGGTCTCGGGCACGAGCAATCCCCAATTCTAAACGCAGAGCTTTTCCCACGCGAGCTCTGTCGTCAACCTCCGGGACTATAAGGATATCTGTGGAGCAAGTCGAACTGAATTCTCCCCACTTCGTAACACAGTGCAACGGCCTCGAAGAAGGATGCTCCAACTCGAAGGTGGGAGGTGGGACTTGAGAATCAAGCCCATGGATCTCCTCTTCTGAAATATCATCAACGTCTGGCTGGAGCTCATCATCTTCTTCTTCGGCCTCACACATTTGTTTCATCGTACGGGCTTGAGTATCAAGCATGAAGTGGGGGTCGGCGACTTGTGCCTCGATTGAGTCGATGTGTGCTGTAAGAATCTCCGTTTGTGTGCCCAGTCCAGCACATCTGAGCTCAATCTCCACATCTCGAGTGGCCTGGGCAGATATGTGAGCAAGGATGAGGTCGAGCTTTTCATCGTATGTCAAAGCAGCCTCCCGAGGTTCATCTCTATGTATAGATTCGCCTTGAGCGGTGGGCTCGGGAGTGACATTGTTAACTCGATCCTCTAATGCTTGCACACGCTCCACAAGGTTCTCGATTTTGGACTCAATATTGCTCCTACGGGCCGCTTGGGAGGCTAAAAGAGCGAGGGCCTGGTCGAGCTTGGCATTATACTCTGATGAGTCCTCGAGGGACTCACATGACTGCTCAACAGGTAAAGACTCCCATTGCTGCTCGTAAGGATATGACCAAGTCTGGCCATAGTCCCAAGAATCATGGTATGGAGGTGACTGATGCGCATGCCTACACCGGGTTGCTCTTCATCCTGAGCTAACCGGGATGACGCGAATTCATAGATACGGTCGAGCTTCTCGTTGAACTTGTGGGACTCATAAGCTTGCTCGACTGTGTGGGGATCCCAGTACTGCTCGGAAGAATATGAATATGATTGGTTGTGTACCCGGTGTGATAGCTCGGCTCGTAACCCCAAGGTTGGGTGTGCGGATAGGGAAAAGTACGGTTGAAGTTCATATCTCCTGCACATCAAAATAGAACAACCACACGTAGCCACGAAAAAGAAGGAAAAAGAAGACAAAAACAAAGAAGACAAAAAGAAAAACAAATATGCACAAAAGAGAAAACAAAAATCCCAAAAACAAAAAACAAAGAGAAATACGGAAAATTAAATCAATACCAAAACTAAATATCCTACTTGCCTTCCCCGGCAACGGCTCCAAATTTGTTGTAGCACAAATTGTTATTTTTACCGAGTACCGAATCAAGGATTCGTTTCCCGGGTCGATCTCTCGAGGAAGGCGGTTCGAATTTAACTTCGGTATTGATTTCACACAAAAAGAAGATAAAAAGCTAAACACTCTAATCAGAAATGAGGAATATATTATCAACTAAGAAATCAACAGCAAACAAAAACGAACCTAAAGTACGAACTAGAAAGCGATAAAGAAGCTAGGAAATCGGGGATAATTTATTCAAGTTCTAAGCAAAACCGGGCAATCAATTGTTCGGTTTGAGATTGACACTCTCGCTTAGACATCTAGCGATTCGCTCCCAATAACTCTTCGTAACAAGAGATTGAACATAGACGAGCTAGCTCGAGCATACAACACATGTCAATTATCCCAATCTCAATAACTTTTCGTAACAAGAGACGGGTCATCGGCAAGTATGTATTTCAATCCAAAACCTATAGACTATTCAGTTACGAAATCATCTATCTCATGCGAGCCTCGGTCTACGACTTCTCCCCTTTCGGTTCTAAAAG